ACTCTCTCTCTCTCTCTCTCTCTCTCTCTCTCTCTCTCTCTCTCTCTCTCTCTCTCTCTCTCTCTCTCTCTCCGTGCGTGTGCGCACGCCCGCGCGCGAGAGAGAGAGTGAGAGAGAGTATGTGTGTGTGTGTGCACGTGTGTGTGTGTGTGTGCACGTGTGTGTGCGTGTGTGTGTGTGTGTGTGCCTTTTGTTTTTTTTTCAGACCCCCACCACCCCCAAACCCCCGAACGAACTTTTTTTTTTTTCCCTTTTTTTTTACTTTGGGGGGTAGCCCCCGACATGCACCCCCCCCCCCCCCCCCCCCCCCCCCCCCCCCCCCCCCCCCCCCCCCCCCCCCCCCCCCCCCCCCCCCCCCCCCCCCCCCCCCCCGGGAAAGCCCCCGAAACGGGTCCGTACGTACTCCCCGTATTCGTACGGCGGGACACATAGCGTGAATGTATTTGACCTGTCTTGTGAATGTATTTGACCTGCCCGCAATTATGACTGAATTCGGATGCATCTGACTGCAATCACAACCAGAAACGCGCAGAAAAGGTCCTACTTTGTGTGAATACATCCACGTATCCTGGAAGTAAGGCCATACTCACACTACCACTTCCGTAAATGTATATGACCTGACCGCAATTATGACTGGATCCGTATACATCTCAGGACCAGAAATGCACAGAAAAGGGTCCTACCTAGTGACACTGTGAACACGTCCTCACTTAGGCAGGACAACCCTCGCAGGAATCTATGGCACGGGAAAGATTACCGTTGATTCCAATCGCCGGTCTCTTCTTGCAAAAATACACATGAGGATAGCCGGTGGGATCGATGTACACGTGTTCCGTCATCTTCTTCCCTCTTGGCAGAGCTATGGTGTTCCCTCTGAAGAAGCAGTTGCAGAATCTAGTGTCCAGTCCCGCTGCTCCGAAGACGTTGACTGCGCCTCCTCTCGCTCCCACCCTCGTCAGGGAATTGCCGACAAACGACGAGCGAGAGAAGAGGACGTATCCGTAATCAGCCACGAGAACTGCCGCCCCCTCGGCCGCCTTATTCCCCTCGAATCTGCATCCAACGCACGTTACTGACGCCCTGTAATGGCTAATCAACGGTCCTCCTTCGTTCGATCGGAAGAGGACATTGGTGGCTGTCAGACCGGTGTACATGAGAGAAATCATCTTCCCTTTGTTACTAACGAACTGAGAGTTCTTGATTATGACATCCTGAGCGGCCACGAGGCTGATGAGGCCTGAGACATCCATGCCAGCGAGATTGACATTACCGGAAACAAGGCAGTTGGAGATGGTGATGACGGCTACGTAACTTTCAAGGATATACAGGCGGCGCGTCGAGGTCCCGACGAAACCCGTGAGCTCCAGATTGTCCAGAGTAAGGTTCTGACCGCTACTGGCGAATCCACTGAACCGCTTTCGGCCATCGATCGTGCATCTTCTGCGACGGCCAGATCCCGTCTTGCAGCTGCCAATGACCGTCAAATCAGGACACGTCATCGATTCCAAGTCACGTGTCAGGTGGACATCGCCAGTCAGTCGCAGGACCGTCTTCGTCTTCCGCGCCATGGCTGCGCGAAGAAGAGCCTCCTGCGTCATCCGGGCTGAGCGGGAACCGGCGCCGGTGGGAGCGGATACTCCCAGGCATAACAGTGTCAATGACAGAAGCAGCAGCTGTATTCCACGTGTCAACGCCAACGGCGTGGAACGACCTCCTCCTCTCATCTTCACAGCAACGCCACACTCTTCTTCTTTCTGCCTTTCGTTCCAGGACCTAGAATTGACTGCGCGCTATATGATTCTTCACCCCAAGAGCAAAGATGGCGATGGCGGCGGACATTGGGGGACACGAGCACAGCCTACGTGGCAGCAGAACAAGACCGCAAAATGCACAGTGACGGCGACAAGGATGACCATGACACGGAGGAAGAAGAAGGCTGTGGTGGAAGAGGAAGCCTATGGTAGAAGAAGAACGCTATAGTCATGAGGGGTCGGCAATCGGGGCAGGCTGCCCGAAATGGAGGCTCGTCCCAACAGACCTCAATCCAGAGCATGCACGGTAGCAGGATTATGAAGACGAGTGAGGAACGTCGAGTCACAGTGCAATTGGCAAATGAGCAGCAGTAGGAGGCCCGGGGCGCAGGAGACAGGATTATGAAGACGAGTGAGGAGATTGCAGGCAAGCTCAAGCTCGGCTTGCGTCGGCTTGCCTCGGCTTGCCTCGGCTCGGTTCAGTTCAAGTTCGGCTGGAGTTGCTGCACCCGTGAGAGAAAGCATAGAAGAAGAAGAGATGGGAAATGATTGTTTTATTTCTGGAGCGAACAAAGCGGCGAGAGGAAAAGAGAAGATGGCAGACAGGAGGAGATGAAGGGCCCGTCCGAACACTATGCACCCTCGTTTTCACTGTATCGAGTCGGAAACATACCTTGTATACGTTCATTGTCAGCCTGCGTTATGTTTGGGAAAAAACGGTTGCGCGACTCGCATACAGCAACATTCCCGCAGGCCGTGGCTATTCATGTGAAGGACGCTGAGGGCATACTCACTCTAGGACCAAAAGTCTCATGAAAGAAAAATCATCTATAGCTTGACTTTGATTCAATAAATAGGCTAATTTCCATGCTTTAACGATATGATAAGCCATAAAAGAATCAAATTCATTTATATACAAATTTCTGAAAAGCCCGAACACAACGCACCTTATTTTGGCTGTATGGCCAGAAATATAGCTGTATACATTCATTTTTAGGGTGCTTCGTCCAGAAAGGACGAGAAAAGGACGAAGTCGCGGCCCTGACACTTCGCACTCGGGGCAAGTGTGCAAGTGTGCGTAGCCACACGGGTGAGGACCAATAGACGCCAAAATATTGTAAGAAAGTAGATGAAAGTAGATGGATTTTAAAATTTTCTTTTTTCCTTCTTACAACGTACATGGGCCTGGCTGCAGTACTCTCCAAATGTGCGAAATGAGACTGAATCCACCCCTAGAACATAGATAGATGCATGGCCATCTTTTTTGTCTTTTGTTTGGCAGGCTGTTTTCTTGGTAGACGATTTTTGGCAATAAGGTAAGATGGGGGGGAAATTTTGAAAGGTCGCTTCCCGGAAAAAAAAAAAAAAAAAAAGACCATCTCTGGAGGTGGTCTCAAAAAGGGTCCTCTTGCAGGCTGCTGACAGAAGGGTCGCCATTGTAGGCATTTTGGTAGCGGACCTCTCCAATGTGACCTGAAAAATGCCTCAAATTTTGGGATTTAAGGTCATTAGGTTCCCCGGGGCACACCCACACTACCACTTCCAAGAATGTATTCAACTGCATTTCACGGCCAAAGCTTTGTTTCCTTTTTCTTCTGTAACTTTTTCTTTTGTGAGTTTCAGGGCCATGACTTTTCTTCTTCATTTACTGAAGTTTCCGCTTGTTTTGGGGAAACTACGCGGGAGTCACAAAAATGAGTTATGATTGCAGTATGGGCTGAAATACAGTTTGCAATTGCAGTTCGGGCAATGTATACAACCCAGGTAGTTTCCCCTTTTGTTGGGGAAACTACGCGGGAGTCACAAAAATGAGTTATAATTGCAGCATTTTTGTTCTTTGGGTGAGAGTACTAGAAAAGAAAATGGAGCGGGACCCATACTCGGCAAAACTTGGAGCGCAGTGAAATTCAGGCTAGAAGGAAGGGCCTGGTTGCACAGCTCGCCCAACACCAAGTTTGGACAGTAGGTGAATGTTTGCACTTAGGGCCTTGCCACACCACTGTCGAAATGAGAGAAGTTCATATAAATGATCCCACAGGAAGGGGCGAGATGCATCCTGTATGAATACTAACGGATGCATCTTGCCACTTTTTGGAGGAAGATGCACCGTGGTGTGGCGACGCCCTCACTCTTCAAACTTAGGAGGAGATACCATTCTCGGCTTTTTCGCTAAGACCAAGTGACACTGTGCCATCTGACCTGATCAGATATCTTATCCATGGTCCATCCAGCCCAATGAAATAGAAACAACTGGGTCCATGTCATGGTTTGAGTTTCAGATCTGCAGGAAAAACAGGTGACAGAAACTTGCAGCGGACTGTAGCTTGAAACTGCAAAAATAGCGAATGGCCTGGTGGCTCGGCCTCGTGCACATCCACCGTTACGCGCTTTGATAGAGCCCAGCCATTCGCACACCCCCCTTGGGCTGACCCAAGGTAAGTTTATATAGACACTACCGGCACACCACCCAAGGGGTTAGGTCTATGGTTGCAGTATGCTTGTAGCTGGCTTTGGGGGCAGGGCTGTTTGCGTGGTTGGCCATTGGGGATCTGTTTGAGTGTCAAGTGTTGTGTGTGGGTTGTGTGTTGAGTATAGTCTGATGATCTCTGGGTCATGTCTAGTGTACTCACCATGGGCGTGGGTAGAGGCGGTAGACGGGCTAAGGGAGGGGTAGATAGATAGGGKRGGGGTGGGTAGATAGGATCTTGTGTAGGGATTGTGGGCCTGTCTGTGTGCTCCGCCTCGTTTGTATGGGCTGCTCTGTGGGTGTAGCTGGGGTGCGTCCTGGTACCACTGGGTTTCCAGGCCTCATGGTTCACCCACGAGAGTCCATACTCACATTGTACGATCCTAGGCCCCGGATAGACCCCGCTCTCTACACCCCCCTTGAGTAGTGGTAGTGGTTGGGTGTTAGGCATATACGATTCCCATGGGCGGGCTTCAAGTTGATCTCACGATGCTTGTGGGCTGAGCTTCATCCGGGTTGGTTCCTGTCTGAGTTCCCATTGAGGGGTCGATTTGGGCGTTAGTCTTGGGAAGGGCTTCTAGGTAACGGGTTGGTGTAGGTCTAGGTCTAGATAGAGAGGGTGTCATCTTAGGCAGGGGAGGGTGGGCTGCCACATTGATGTAGAAGGGTGGCTTCGCTGCCCATAGAGTATGCACGATGTGATACAGGTTGGGAATGACCGGGTATATCTGTGACCCCTCCTGTATCCGGGTTGTCCCCAGGTCTTCGGGGTGTCCCTATGGTGGCATCCAGGGGGGACGTGTGTCTGCAACTCCTCAGAAGGCGCGGGTTGGTGTAGGTCTAGGTCTAGATAGAGAGGTCTGGGTCGCACCGCTGTAGCGCTCGACTTGGGATAAGATTAGGATACAACAGGTCACGAATGATGCCCCCTGGAGGAAGACTGTCCTTGGGGTTGTCACAAGCCATCTGACCTCCTCACTGGTTGAGATGACTGCAGGCATCTCCCGAGGCCTAGCATCCACCCTCTACTGCGACATGGACCTTTATAAAAATAAAAATGAAAAGAAAACTGCAAAAATAGCCCAAAATAGAGGTATACCGTTCTTGCCTTTTTTGAACTGGCCCCCGTTTTTGCCTTTTCTTGAGTTGGGCCCTCACACCCAGACTACACTGTCAGTCTTCCCCCGAATAAAATGTATGGTCATTATAACTGAATTTAGACTGAAAGATACACCAAATTTAGCTATAATGACCATACATTGTATTCGGGGGAAGACTGTAGGCCCGGCGAATGTACTTATGACATCCTCGCCATCAGCGCCGTCTGCAAAGTGGCAAAGTGCCACGCTGCTTTTTCGCTTCTTCAAACTCGGCGCGTGCATGTTCTGCTGGCATGTGTTATTCTGCTTAATATCTGATAGCTGCTTTTCATTCGCCGCGCAGTTGGCTCCCGAAAAGAACTAGAAAACTGCTTCTGAGTCACACTTTCAGTTTGGAATAGGCAGGAAAAACACTACGTCACAACTTGAACATCACAAGAGATCAGAAGCCCTAGGGCAAAAAATACTATAGGCCGCAGCTGTACCAAGGCTGTAGTTCGTTAGACGCAAAAATAACACAAAAACTGGGTCCCTTTACCGGGACCTTTGTCAACCTATCTACGGGGACCTTGGTAGACCACCATGACCTGTGGACAGAGTAGCACCTACCCGGTGCCAAGTCCCATTAGCAGCGTAGAGTTTCCTCAACATGGAGTGTCTGTTGAAATGTGGGGTTGAGGAAATGCAACGCCATTTCTGCACATCTTCACCAACACGTCCAGATTCGGGTGTTGAGAAAACTCAAGACTGCTGGTGGCACTTCGCACCGGGGACCGTGGAGGTCACGTAGAGAGCCCGCAGGTTCCATTTCTGGCGGACAGAGCGAGGGAATTCAAAACGGGACGCGAATTTGTCCCATGCAGATGTGGACACAGACACACACACACACACACACACACACACACACACACACACACACACACACACAAAGACAGAGACAGACACA